TTTCTTAATTACGTAATTTGTATGGCGACGCGCGAAGAATAACAATTCGGAGTAAGTTGGCGGAAGTGACGGTGCGAAGCGGCACACGGCGCCCTCTCACTTCCGCTTTCCTCCCTGAAGCCACTTCCTGTACGGAACTTCCAGCGCTCTCGTCACGTGCAGGGGGTGCTCTATGAACTTGTCTGACCTCAGGGAGTTTCGTTTTCATTTTCTATTTATTGAAATAACAAGGTACATAGGTCAGTACTACAGTACTTTTATGTTATTTGTGGTGATATGTAATTTTTGGAGACATGCATCAACATTAAAAACTAGTTCCGAACTCTTAGTTCTAAATAATTGATTGTTAGTAATACCGAGCGCATCTGCTAAGGCCATTAGTTCCCTAAGTGCAGTGCATGTGTTTTTCCTCAGGAGATATTAATATTTAGAAAAGTTGAAAATATTACAGTTCACAAACTGCGGAAAAGATTACTGATAGATATTACTGATTAAATTAAGAGAAACACAAATAGAACTGAGAGAATATATATATATATATATATATATATATATATATATATATATATATATATCAGATTTTCATTTTGGGTATGCACCACTGGTATTCAAAATATTTAGATACGTCCTATTTTTTCAAACACTTTTTCAACTTTATTGATTCATGCAGCTAGAATGTTTTCTAAATAATGACATTAACTGAATATATTTCAATGACATAATGTACTTATATAAAAATCTGAGTAATGGTTGAGTAATAACACTAAGAGGGAGAAGGGTTTCTCCATGCCGCACATTCCTATTGCTTTCGAATGATATAAGCTTAGATATATACATTTCGAATAATAAGATAGACAATCCCGAATGCATCTCAAATATTTTATGAGATTAGGGTCTTTTACGGCTTAAAGAGAGATATTCCCAAAGAAAACTAACATTATGTCAAATTGCAGAACTTTTTTTGTAAAGATTTAGCATGCAAAATATTTTATATCAAGTGAAGTTACAGAAACTGATGTGAAAGTTCATGGTGTTCATGAAGATACCGTGTGATACGATGGCACCGCCACTGTCCACGTGCAGAAACAACACCTCAAAGTCAGAAGCGCCAAAGTGGCGGTGATCAATACTAAGCCTCCACGTTTCCTAATTTGATCAATAGATATCGCGCCATGACATTTTGTCTTGTAGATTCGTCGAACAGATCAAGCAAAGAACGAAATTGAATAAACCTAATCAAATCCTGGGATTTTAAGTCTTATCTCTTCTTAACGAATCCTCATCGAATGACAATATACCAGTATTTACGCATGATTTCAATAATTTGCATGTAATAGTTATTCACGACCTACTAATTATTTCAATAAGATGCTACTATACGAATATCATAAGTTTTATCGACTTTGCAAAAAAATATTATAATTATCGCTAAAATTTGAGTATACGTCCCGCGAAAGGTGCCATTCTGATGTTCGTTATACTAGTAGTTAGAAGAAGGCCATGAACTAGTTCTATTTATATCACGGAACTGATTGTTGTTAACAATGGGCCTTTTTATTGTACTTTATTATATTATTATATATTATGACACTTTTATTATAATGGTTCTTCGTAAGAACTCTTATTGATCATCGATCTCAGTTTCTTAAAGTTTCACTAAAGAATACCGAAGTAACCTATAGTACAAAAAGCGTTAAGTGTGACACATCACATAGCTCTCTCAAAAAATATTTTTCGCGACATACAATACTTTCTCTAGACTAGAAAAGCAGAATATGAAAAGCGAAAAAAATTGTTTACGGCAAAACATGTCCGTCGGTCCGCGATCATCACCATCTGAACCATTCAGACGATTTTCTCTAAACTGCTATTTCCCGATCAATGTGGCTGAACTTGAGACTAAGCGAATTTAAAACGGATATTTTGGTTTTTAGAGGTTCTTTAAATGAAGCCTTAATAACATTGACGCCACCAGTCTTAATTATATAAGTTTTCCATTAAAAATGTTTGTCCAAGTGTAAATCTGCTGCGAGGATAGCTGTGTTATCTGCAAATGTAGCAATAGTGATGATGTCTGTAGTGGTCAATGCGAACGTCGATGTACGGCATTGAAGAGACCCGAGGATACTTCCTTATAGCACAACTGCGCAGATATATGTTTGAATTCTGAGAGAGCACCTTGATATTTTACTTGAACAAAGCGATCAGGTAGATATGATTGGAAGAGAAGGTTACACCAATGCAGTAGCAAATATTTTATCATCGTAAACCTTCATGCCAGACTTTTTCAAATGTTTTCTGGTCGGCAAGGAAGACATCAGAACAGTACATTTTCCTTACTTAAGTTGGCATCACGATTCTCTATTTTGTTCTGTTTTACGTACGACCGCAAATTTCCATTCAAAGGGCATTAATTATCTTACCCAAACCTCGCACAAATCTTAGCGAGTCCATTTAAAGCTAATCTATTGGCAATGTGTTTCCAAGTGCATGAGACGTCACTATCCACATTTTGATCTTTTCAGCATTCAAAACACGTTTATTCCGTAACGCCGAATCATGGATTTCCAGAACTTCTCTACTTCGCATAGATAAAAATGGCAATAGTAGTAATTCTTTCAGACTATCTATGTATGTAAATTTGTAGATGATCGGCATATGGGATACATTTACATACAATTAGTGGAGAAATAGGAGAGAATTGTAGGAGTCTCAGGACGTATTCATGAGGACACCACTAATATTACGTCCCTTTTTGTGAAAATTCAAAATAATTAAAATTATTAGATTAAAACGAAATACACTCCATTTTAAGAAAAATATTATGTAAAAATGTGTCCCCAAAATAAACGTCATTATTGACTCGTCATCTGCTACTGGTACCCTGAAATCTGTACATTTTACAAATGAATGTATTAAATGTTATTAAGAAAAGTATAAATTTCATAAAGATAGATATTCGAGCAGAATATTTATAACATTATATTATATTATATTATATTATATTATATTATATTATATTATATTATATTATATTATATTATAATTAAAATTTATATTTAAAAATTTAATTTATTAAATTAATGTATTTAATTAAATTAAATACATTCAAATTGGAACATTGCAGAGAGGTGGTTCTACGTGCACTTGAACAAGTGCGTGTTTTACGAACACCTGCACGTGCGCCTCACACGCGCTGGCTTTCGCGTTCAAACGCAGGTTCAAATGGTAGACTGCAATATACCCATCTCAGAGGGTGTACCGGCTTAGGTGGCTCAGGGCATCAATTGATGTGACTGCAAGGTCTCTGACCGAGAGGTCCTAGAATTCGAGTTCCAACGGTGGCAGGATTTTTGACACTAGCTACAGTGTTATGTCAAATTTGGCAACTGCCTGCAGGAGAATCCTTGCGGCTGGCTGCTCTGATTGGTGGTTTCTCCGATCGACGCCAGGCAAATGCCCGAGAAGTACCCTAACAAATGGGCTCCGGACCGCACGGAATCTTTCCTTCCTCTTCCTCGTTCTATCCTCACCCCTTACTTCCCCACACTTACACCTTCATGCACTATACTACCCCATATGCACGGAGACCAGTGGGAAGCTTAGATATTTACCCCGCTACGGCAGTGACTGGCTAGAAGGACTGAATCTTGATTAAAGTAAACTCCCCAATCTGCCTTGTAGGATCTCGCCATCCAGCGGGAGATCACCGTCACCTCCCGCGAAATCCACGCGAACATGGAGTCCTTAATTGATCAAATCGAATCAACGCACGTGTGGAAGCAGGTGTAAGGAGCTACAAAACCCAAGTTTCGTTTTCAGTTGCTGGAGGCGGTGGATTCGTCTATCAGAAAGCCTTCGCCCCATCCACACGAGATCTCACACTCGAGCGACTAGAGAGTTAGGACATTCAGCGATATAGACTTTGTATATCAAGTATTTACCTTGCAAAAGACTAAAAGAGACCATTCAATGTAATTTAACAGATGATTCTCGATTATATCCTTTTGATTGCCTCGCTAATATTTTGGCGTATTTATAGTTCTACACCTGAATGATGAATGGTGTTATATAAACATCAGTTACCTTTATTATACGGGTTGAAATAACGAGCCTTTCTAGTATATATCTTCGCAGGATGCGTTACAGATTTTAATATAATACTCAGTACTTTAATCTACACTAACACGTAAGTCAATAGTATATAAAACTGCTTGGATTAATCCGTAGTGATTCATTATACGTATAAGGCAAATCAAGAAGCAGTTTATCAATAAGAGGAAGGTTCTTCTCCATGATAGGAGCATCTGAAATATCTTCCTTACATATATATATATATATATATATATATATATATATATATATATATATATATATATATATACATTAACATACATTACATTCCTATATACATTAAGCATCTTCATTTTACAGCCACTAGTAAAATCTGGTTCTTTTAGACCATGCACAACGTGGTAAAAGTTCAATTTTTAGAACCAATGCTAAAACTGAGACGATGCTCAAATGTTCAGAGAACTGCGAATAAAACGAAAACAAAATATTTTCGTCTAGCCGCTTCAGCTGCTTCAGATCTTAAATATTGTAGGACACGACACGCGTGGTAAAAGAGATTTTAATTTATTGGTAGGATTGCATCACATGGCCCATCGGTCTCGGGACCCAACATTTCGTACTAGATATTATTTAATTACATTTTTTAAATTAAATACAAAACAAAAAAGTGTGCTGTTGCATCAGGACAAATAGTTTCCGTGGTACCGCCGCTAGGAGTGAGTTCGCCCCTGACCGAAGAGAATAACTTAAGAGAGAGAGATTATTTAACCACCGGTAGAAGATATAAAAACAGCATTTATGGACAGTTAACCAGCGTTTTTAATTTTATTTTTAAAAAAATAAAAATTGTTATTTTTATTTCACAGTATTTGTATAATTTATTTTAAATTTACTTAAATTAATTTTTAAATATTTTATTTGTTCAGGAATGCTTACTAAAAATTTTGTTCGCTCCCACAAGTATTACTATTTATATTTTTCGCTATAGTATGTTGTATTAAACATAAATACATTAGATTACGAACTATTTCCATTTAAATTTTTAATGTTAAGTATTTAATAGGCAAAAATTAATGCTCAGATTATGAACAGTATATATTACATGTGTTCAATTATACATTTTAAATTTTAAAGTATCATATATGGTGGAAGTTAATCAGCGTACTTTATTAAAATAGTGATTTGACAGAAAACGATTCATTAGTTACTAGCATATTCCTAAGAGAAAGTCGCTCTTTTTCTGAAACAATTATGATTTGTTTAAATATTACACAACAGGGAAACCAGTTTGACCTTTTATTTTGCATGAATAGTTGCTCATTTATTTTATTACTTATATTTTCATTTAAATGAATAATTAAAAATCGCTTTTAGCAGTAAGTGTTACAAATTTTAGGCTTTTCTGTAACAAACTCTTGGGTTACTCTAGAATAGTTGTTGAACATTTTTGGTACTTGAAAATGGATGGAAAAGGCATTTGGAACCTAAGTCTACTTCTCCGATTGCCTTCTCTATGTGGAATGAAGAATCCTTGGTCGATGCCGATAAGCCATGCGAAGTTCTCGTTCTAGACTTCGCAAGAACGATTAGAATATTGTGCCACAGACTGGTCAATTCTACCAGTTTTTGCCTTATACCAGGAAACGTCCTCGTCGGGATCCCGATTAATACCAGATTTAGATCGGACCCAAGTCAAATCTTTCTCTGCGCTGTAAAAACTATGGACCTTGTTGAACAGCTGTGAGGAAAATGGGCTTGTAGACGTTAAAAAACGCCGCGGGATTAAGTATGACACTTCCATTAAAGCATTTTTTTGTTGATTTACCTAACATTCCAGGAATCAGTATTGTGCATGCACCAATTAAGCGTCATGTTTTGGAAATTGAAAAGCAATTGAACATAAGATTAATCAATTTATGAAATACCTGTAAGTTCCATTAAATATATATTATAGGAAGATATATTTCATTGACGTTTGTATTATACTTAGCATTGTTGCTGCCAACTACACGAACATACTTCCGACGACTAAATGATAATTTAAATAATTATCATTTCATCTTTCTTCTCTTAAATATACCACTACTCTGGAGGCTGGAGGAGTGGCTGGGGGAAACTCTAGAGGTCGACTGCTATGATCAGTAATTTCCCGTGGTTTCTCCGATCAATACCAGGGGAACAGACGAGCAGAATCCTCACAAACGAGCCACGGACCACGCGCAATCTTTCCTTGCACTTCCTTGTCTCCTCGTCCTCCTTAGACATGGGCATGCACCTCAGTACAAGAAATGCCGTGACGTTAGAGTTTGTTTGAATGGGGTGGTACCACGCAGAGGGAAATACCTAGAGGAGAGCATTGCAAGACAACATGTAGGTCGATCACACGTTCTAGCGATGGATGAACACTACCACTTCCCGAGATATAGCATACACCACACTTAAGGGAGGAACTACAGTGGTTAATATACTGGGAAGCACGAGTTAATCAATCGAGGATTCGACTGACATTCAGGTTATCGCAGCAGGGCCGGACATTCTAAATTAGCTTTACACAATCGCAAGATTCACACACAATAGTATTTAAAGAGACTCCGAAAATTACATCTGATATTTAACCCCTACTTTTTGTCCAAAACGCTTAATAGATTATTTCAAGACAGAATTGTATTTTTATTGTAAAACCTGTGGTAAAGCTGTAACTTATTCCTCAATTTTCACTAAAAGTATAAAACGCATTTATTATTACTTTCAACAGGTTTTATGTAATACAATTATCACAATATATATTTTACAGGGAAGAAAACCAAACCTGTGTAAATTGAATCAATCTGTAAATATCTTACTCTTCAACATTTTTTGTTACGTCATTTAATTTTTTTAAACCTTCATTTCTGAGAGCAACGATGAAAAAATGTAAAACATAAGTTACTATGTATACATTTTTTCTACGAAGAAAATGTTGTCTAATTAAATTGCGATATCTACATTCAACGTTGCAAAGCCCATTATGCAAAGCGCGTATGCATCAGAAAGATCAGTTTTAAAATTATAAATCACAATCTGAGAGAAATTGGGAGAACCATAAGTATATGACGATCATTGAAATAGGTCTTCAACACAAATTTTAGTACGCACAGTACTCAATAAGAAAAAGAACTAACCTGCAATTTATTTTCAGTAAACTAAACCTCTCCTCTAGTCAGCTGGGCACAATCGGCATCCCCACTGGGCTAGTGGACCTCAGTCCAGACCTGGCGGTGGTGCAGGAAGGCAGCTTGTGCTTGGCGGGCACCAGCCTCTTGGCGCGCACGCTGCTGGTGGTGCCGCTGGCGCGCGCGCTGCCCGCGTGGTCGCTGCCGGCGCGCGTGTTCGGCGCTGACATCTGGGCGGCGCTGCTGGGCTCGGTGGCGGCGTACGCGCTGGCGTGGCGCGTGGTGGCGGGCGAGTCGCTGGCCGCCAGCGCCGCCTGCGTCCTGCTCACCTCCGCCGTCGTCACAGCCAGCGTGTACCAGGTGCGGAAAAAACATTTCCAATTGTTTCCCATCTCTCGTTCTTTCCCTCTTTGCTGCATGCACTACTTTTTCTGCATCTTGTAGACGACTGTACAAAGTGTGTCTCAAAAGCTATGTTGAATGACCTCGCGCCGACAAAGAAAGCCGCTAGCAGTGACGGGAAAGTTTTGCAGTGAGGGTTTCTGGAAGTCAATGATACCCGCGTTTGTGGCCTACGGACTGTTTTACATTATGCGTCGCTGTCAGTTCAAAAGGAAAAGAATACTTGAATAATAATTTATTATTATTCAAGTGACAATCGTATTTTTCTCACATTTTTATCTGTTTAAACTTTCCTAAACTTTGGAGTTTTTGTACAATTTGTTTAAGTGTTGTTAGTATTTACAATAGATCACTCTCTTTCATGGGGCGTAGAATTTTAATCGATGTGTTGGACTTTGTTCAATTGAGATGTGTAACTTAATTTATGCTGGCTTTTATTTTCTTAGTTTAATTGTAAATTATATACAGTAAAATTCTGTTCAGGGAGTGAATAGTATTTAGACATGTATTTTAAATAATATATTGTATAACAGGCTGGTTATCGAATAAAAGTCTCAATATTGAATAATTTATGAGAGATTGGCAATAGAAATTAAAGAATCAATTTTCAATGATATCCTCCGTAATTATGTCAAAAATTGTAATGGATTTCCTTGCCTTACTCCAGTTATGATTTCAGAATCAGTCATTTTTAGTAATAATCATTTTTATTATAATTTTGTAATTAAAGAACAAAAAATGTAATAATTAATAAATAAAGTTCCGAATACTAATCCAACAGATATTTTATCCGTCAGATAAAAGTGCCTGATATAGTTTCACTAAGTTCTTCCTTGTTAAAATATCTGACATCTTTCTGATAAATAACCCGCGGCAGCAACTGATAAATAACGCCGCACTTTTCAGTCAAATGCGCTGAGTGTGCGCGAATTCGAAAGTGTTTTGGTAATGGAAGTGTCAGGCGTTTTTCGCTTTATTCGTTGTTGTTTTGTGTTGCAGTTTACTTCGGCGCAATACATCATAATCAGTAGTGGGGAAAATATGGAAGTGGAATAAGTAATGAAAACACAAGGACACGTGCGCAATTTCCGCCTAAACAGTGTCAAATGTGAGCAAATTAATAATATCTAAGTAATTTAAAGAATAAAGAGCTACGATGTAAATGCAAGGGAGACCAATGAGAGCAAAGTTCGCATTCGAGAGAGCAATCAAGCTGCGCGCAGTGTCAGGAAGAAACGTGTTTGGAAAAAAGTTCGTGCTGGAGAAAACGGGACGAACGCGCGCAACTCGAAACGGGGCAGAGCTCGGGCAACTTCGTGGCGGAAGGACGCGCAGATGGAACGCTCGCCGAGGAAAGTTGTTTTCTATTACAAAAATTTTTTAAATATGGTAAAGTGAAAATAGACACGATGTAAGATAGAAATAAAAATTACGTGTGTTGAAAACCGGTGCGACGTGATTAATCGAAGTTTTCTGGATATGGAAATGGAATGAAGTGTTGAACAACGGCCGAGATTTCTTCATCTGCTTCACGAAGGAAAGTAACAATGAGGGGAAATTTTGTTAGAAGGTCATAATACAGGAAGATTCAGTGGTTTTTCATTTTTAAGATAGATAAATTTGTAATTGGCGAAAATAATTTGGCCAAAGCATGCAAAGAAAGGGGATGTTTGTTTAATAGAATATGAACACCTTTGTTTATAATAACAGTAATTCTCAAAAAGGGTATATTATTCAATTGTTGCTTTTGTGGTGATAAAAACGTTAACAGAAGAATTTTATGTATGTATGTATTTACAGCCTGCATAAACGTATTTTATTGTAAGTATATTTATTTCCGAAGGCGACCTAGAGAATTCCCGAGTCCGTGTTTGAATAAGCAATCCCGTGTACGTTAATAATTGGGAGTCCGTACGGACGATCTATTGTACCCACACCTATAAATGTTTTCGTGATGGAAAGAATTCGGGTGTCATATAGAATAGTAGGATAATTAAATAAATAAAAGGAAGAATAAAGATCGTGGATGAATTCTTAATAGGTTGGCATGCCTAGTGCAGCGATGGGAAGAGAGGCTCGCACATTGCAAGAGGGCTAAATGAACACCCTTATAGCGCTATTTAAAGAGACCGAACTTTGGTTGAATTGTTGAGGTCTTAAGATCTAGTATGTATTGTAATGGGTTCTGTATGTATTGTAATGGGTATTTTAAGGTTTTTAAGATCTACAAGTATTTCTTGTAGTATGAATGTATGTTTCTTGTATTTTCTTGTAGTATATATTGTAATTTATCTTCAGACAAATTGCAGAAACTGTTGTGAAAGTTCATCACGTTCAGGAAGATACCGTGTGATACGACGGCACCGCCACTGTCCACATCCCGAAACAACGGCTTTAGCCAGAAGCGCCAATGTGGCGGTGGTCAGTACTAAGCCTCCAAGTTCCCTACTGTGATCAATAGATATCGCACCATGACATTTTGCCTTTTAGATCCATCATACAGATCACGGAGACGAATGAAATCGAGTAAATAAAAAATATATAATTTGAAATTTTAATCCTTGAAAGAATCTGTTTAAACCTTCTTCTACTTAGTGTATCATCTTCCAATTACACAATACCAGTTTCTGCGCATATTTTCAATAATATGCATATTATAGTTATTTTCGACATTTATTATTTTATTTATTTATTTAATAGGTAATTATTACAGACAAATTAGCTTACTTGATCCTATGTGGCTAGGCCGAAGGCCTTATGGCATTACAATACCTACATCCTTTCGCGTTCTAATCTTTCGAATTCTGGTATTCACCCCAAATGGTCTCTCCATCGCATCAAAGCCGCGGAAAAGAGACCATAAGGTACGGCTCAGGAAAAAACCCCTGAAGGGGGAAAAACCTGCCGTCAAAAGCCGAGTACATTCTAATCTATCCGACGTTTATTTTAGCTATTTTATTTTCTGGCGCGGGCGTCCCGCCGTCTCCTTCCAGTGCTTGGCCTCCTCAGCACCTGAAATCAAACAGCACCACAGAAGATCGTCCGCACCAGCCCCTCTGCCCTTATATTTTCGATCCCCCCTTACCTCCCCCCCTAATGTGCTTATTACTATGCCAGTTTTATTTTCTTTATTATATTGACCTTTTACTTACCAATTAACTATGACTTATGACTTATTTCTTAACTGTTTACTAACTTAACATAAAATTACTGATTAACTTACATATTGTTAGCTTATTGACTTATTTATTTCTCTCCAGTCTAGGTTCCGCTCAAGCTAACCAGTGCTGTTTTCTTACTCCCTAATTTCAGTTTCCCTAATGGTCCGAACCTTTCCTAAAAATGTTCCTAATTATTTCATGAATTACACCTTTTATCACCTAAAATGTTTTGGGCGAGCATTACGTTCCTGTTTAGAAAGTAGTAATTTCCCATTCCCATCCATTTTTTTCTCCTTTATTCGGTTGCACAGCAAATTAAGAGGATGTGGATCCAGTCTTCCCTATCACCGCAAAGCACACAGATGCCATTACCACTTGCGTCCTTTAGTCTACGCTGCATCCATCCCCCAACCCTGAACCAAGCGTATCCCCCTCTTGCGTCCTTTCCGAGAGTATGAACGTAACCTTCGCAACCCCATAACCGACTCGCATGAATTTGAGCTACTAGCGAACGTTTTTCAGCCGTTGCTGCCCAGATCTCTTGCCTTTTAATATCCGCAAGTCTATTGGAAATCAGCCGTTCTATTTCACGGGTTCCCTTATCTCCCACCATTTCCGGAGAGACGTCTCCCAACCCTGCGCGGTCCAGTAGCCGTTTAATTTTCCACATACAAGTTCATTGTAATAAAATGTTACAATACGGATAGAGTAAATATTCAAATGAAGTATTATTTTTGTTTCAATTTACATATTCTTCCAGCGGAAAAGTGACCATCTGATAGCTGTAGTTAACAGGAGGACATGAATTAATTATAATATTACATGCGTTACGGAACTGAACATTGCTGTTAATAGTGAGCCTTTGTTACGACACAGTTATCGTACTCGTGGCTCGTAAGAACTCTTATTACGACTCTGATATCAATTTCACAGTTTGAATTTAAGCAACTGAAGTGAATCAATGTACTATACAAGAAAAAGCATCACTTGTTATACGTCCTATAGCTGTGTCTAAAAAAATTGTTTCTTCCCGCACAATACTCTCTCTACACTACATAAGTAGAATGTGACAACATAAAAATGTGATTGCGACAAAACATCTGTCCGTCTGTGATTTACAAGAGCACCTAAACAACACAGATGATTTTCCCAAAATCTGATATTGCCCTGGATCAATCTGGCTAAATACGCTCTCAAATCAAAACAACGAAAGTATTCTTGTTAAAGTAAAAACAACTTATATTATTTTCATTTAAAACCGTAATTTGTTTAATATTGAAATTACAGTAAGTTATAATATTACTCATACAATTTTGTTTTTCATTATTTATTTTTTCTAATAAACATAAAATAGAAAAATTACCTTAAGTAATAGAACAAAACCAAATTTTAACAAAAAAACTATTAAATTCCTTTTTTATTTATATTGAGCTGTCGGGTGCAAATTATAAGATAAATGGTTAAATTTTGAGAAACTGAAGAAAATTTACAGGGCTACAATTTCTATTTAGTTCTTTTTGTGAAGTACATCAGAACATGAGATATACTTGAAAAACGATTTTTTTTCTTTATTTTCAATCTTTTTTGTTGATGAAAGAAACAAAATCGGATATAAACAGTTGAAAATAATTTTGAAACATCTTCATTATCTGTAAAATATTATAACGATTATTAAAGACAAAATATTTATAAACGTTATGTGATTACAAAATTAAACTTATATGAGGAGCTAAAAAACTTTTTTTCGTTTGTACGAAGTACTCCGGGTAAATTGATTTAAATCCAGCAAAAAAGTAG